AACACTAAACCATCTATCCATTATCTATACACCGCTTAATCCTCACTAGGGTCATGGGGGGCTGGAGTCTATCCCAGCCGACTCAGGGCGGAGGCAGGTTCACCTGGACAGGTATCCAGTCTATCACAGGGCTACACTTAGAGACAGACAACCAAGCACACTCACATTCACACCTACGGACAATTTAGAATCACCAATTAACCTCAGCATCTAATTGCTTTTCTTGCACCAACATTAAATGTCCTCTGCAGTGGTCAAAGATAGTGAACGCTGTAAAACATAAAACAGGAATTTAGTCAAATCAACTCATCTTTTGCTTGCGAGGTAGCGAGGGAATATCACAATGAAAACCAACCTAGCTTCCTGCGGACTACCATCTGCCAAAGCTGTACACATTTATTACGTCTTGACGTTTGTCTTTCCAGTATTTTAACTGGATGACTTTGGTTTGGGGCCACAATAACTGCGCACCAAAATTTGACAGACACATTCTGGGAACATGAGAGAAGTTATGGTAGATTTGTCACTAAAGTCATGTCGTTGCAAAAGTGGTTAACATCTTTTTGGGCTGATTTGAAGGTCTTTTTTTTTAACATGGACATAGTATAAAACATTGTACATGTTAAACAGGCTGTTGGTTTAATCTGCAGTCCAGCTGGAAGAGAGCTACAGGAAGCTGTAGTCTGAGGTCAAATTAGATGAGTCATTGCACAGTTTGAATTTTAGCCAAGCAGACGACTACCATGGAGAGGATCAACGCTTGATTTGACACATTTGGCAGAACTTTTTTTTTTTTCTTCTGGCACTTGCTGTTCTCCCCCTCCCCTACAATGAGGACTTGTTGAATGGGGGACTAAAGCCCAGATCATACTGCAGGGTGCACATTGACAGTACACTCTGCATAATCAGAGGCATATGCAGGCATGTTCCACACATGTGCAGTAATGTTATGAGTAAAAAAAGGACTCAAACATGCAGGAACAAGTTTATTTAACTGAAAACACAAGCTTACAGGGAGATTACCAGAAAACAGGAATAAACTGGCCTCAGATGTCAGGAGCAGCAGAATATAAGCAACCAAAACAGTGCAGTGGGTGTGGAAGTCAGGTGACTGGAACTGAAAGGTAAATCTGAGGACATCTTGTGGCAACACAGAGCTAAGACAGGTACTCGTGTATATTATGGTGAAACTCCTGAAAGCGAGGGGAAGAACTGGTTTGTTTATTGTGTTTGGCTGAATAGCATGAGATCAACAAAACAGGGCCAAGGATGTGGAATACATCATGACAAGCACATTGTGCATGAAACAAATGTCCACTTTTGCTTTTCCAGCATATGCACAGTCAATGCAGACGGTTTACCGCCACATTCATGATTTCCACGTCCTCAAACAGAGGGAAATCACAAATTGGTCTTAACCCCACCTCCAACCATTTATCATTTCTTGCTTTCCATTACTTCCATTACACTTTGAACTAAATTCCAACACAGAGAAACATTCAACGGCCTCTTTAACAAGAAACACAGCATACAAAAAAAGGACGGCAGCATTTCATAAGAGGCATTTCACACAGCAGCATTTTGACTTGTCATTGCAGGAAAATCATGGGTGTAACTAACACTGTTAATGACGGCTTGTCCCGTTTAAGTATTCCAGTAAGCCCAACCAGTGAGCGAACATGCACAATACCTAGAATGGAATGCAGCCATCACTAACAATAAAAATCACACCTCTGTGTGTTCCTTTTATTGTTCTGTTTTATTATGGCACCTCTGATTTATCTGACTTAAATTCCTCCCATGAAAACCTGAAGGTCTTATTCTGATCGTATAGTGATTGATGCACCAATGCATTATTGCTTTCTGGTCTAAAAATATTTTTTTGCTTTCAAAAAAAAATTTGTTTTAATGATTATCCTTTAAAAAGTCAAGAAAAAAAATTACATTTCAACTGTTAATAATTGCTGATTTATTCATAGATTATGATTTATTCATAGATCATCATTCC